TAGGGAATTTTCTAGAAGGACTTACTGGAGCCAGTATGTAGTTGATTTACTTGGTGTCAGAATAAAGACACGTACCAAATCTAAAGGAGAAAATGACCTAATGGGTGGCTCAGAGCAGCTTAGCTGTCCCAGTGAAAAGACAGCAATCCGTGTGCTACATTTCTGCCCAGCGAAGCCCATCAGAGGCTCAGTACCCCAGGTTTTCATTGGCGGAGTCACCATGCACCTGTGTCTGGATGTTCCAGAGGAGAGCAGGTGTGTGCAGTTCTGAGCAGTCCAGGTACACTGACCTACCCTCATCTCACCTTTTTTTTTTTTTTTTTTTTGCAGTTTTGGGGATTGAACCCAGGATCTCCCACATGCCAGGAAAGCACTCTGCAATTAAGCTATGTCCCCAGCCCAAGCCACTCTAATCATTAGGACATGGAGGGATGCATGTACCAGCAAATTTCCTAGAGGCAAGCAGACCAGAGTGGATCTTGCAAGCAGAGCTGTACAAGGACGGCAGCCCCAGACTTCTATGTGAACTCCTTCTTGCACTCCCCCGGCCCCGTCCCACGTGCAGATGAATCTTCATCGAAAGGAATTATGTGGCAATGACTGCTGTAGACGAGGTAGAGAAATCAGATCTGGAGAGGAAATCAAGATCTAAAAGAACAGCCAGGGGCTGGGGGTGCAGCTCAGTGGTGGAGCGCTTGCCCGGATGCTCCAGGCTGTGGGCTCAATCTGCAGCACCACAAAACAAACAAAAATTTCAGTTATTTGTTCATTTATTTTGAGACGGGATCTTGCCCAGTCTGGTCTCCAGCTCCTGAATTCAAGTCAGCCTCCTGCCTCAGCCTCCCATATTGCTGGGACCTTAGGCACAAAGCCCTGCCCTGGCCCTTGGAACTCCCTTTGGTTCTCAACCCAGGGGTATTTTACCGCTGAGCTCCATCCCTAGCCCTTTTTTATTTTTATTTTGAGGACGGCTCTTGCTAAATTGCTGAGGGTCTCCCTACATTTCCCAGGCTGGCCTTCAACTTGAGATTCTCCTGCCTCAGCCTCTAGAGTCACTGGGATTACAGAGGATGGGCCACTTACTTATAAAATTTATTTTTGATAAACTTAGAGACCTAGGAACCACAGGCTACCATGCATCTCTAAGTGGGGGACCGAGTGCATGGTGTCATTGAGTGACAGCGTATCTATTGAGCATGTCCGCGTGGTGTTTGTGGGTCTGTGTTGTGCTGTGGTGTTCAAGATCCATGTGAAAGTCTGGGAGTGTGACTGGGTGAGTTTGTGTTCGGAGAGTTGTGTGTGTGTGTGTGTGTGTGTGTGTGTGCCTCCAAGTGCAGCAATGTGTGTCTTGTCCCTGGATGAATGACAGCATGCCCTATCATGTTACTGAGCAGCTGTGTCTCTGCAGGGCTGGTGGCATTTTGAGTTGCTGTGTGTCATGGGCGTTAGCGATGGAGTCTGTGCAGCATGGTGCTTGGTACCTGACTGTGGGTCCCAGGGGCTGGCTCTCTGGATGGCCTTTGTGTTCCTGGGCAGATACATGTGTGTCGTGTGTTGGGCGCTGGGTACTGTCACCCATCCCACCCTGCAGCAGGCTGGCGGTGGCTGCGCCTGTGGATGTGTCGTGACGTGGCTGGCCACTGACGGGCTGTCGTGGTGACCTGTGGCTGAATAAAGACGGGTGCTGATGTGACTGTGTCTCAGTTGGGCTGCGTTTGGGCGAATGTGAAGTTGTGCAGTCAGGGGAAGGGGTGCTGGTGTCCCCCTGGGGGCTGTGTAAGACACACAGGGGCACGGATGAGTGCCAGCCTGCGGCCACTGATTTCTCTAGCCTCTCCTGCGGGGCCACAAGGGCCCCTTTGTTCTCAGTGACAGAAGAGGAATGTCCCTCCTCTCGTGAGGTCCTGGCAGTGCTCTGCCACTGAGCCGTGCCCTGGGACTGCTTGTCCCCGCCATCACTGGTATGCACTATAGAGCCACAGAGAGATCACCTGGGGCCTCTGAACAGTGCTGTTATGGGTTGAACCGCGTCCTGCGCAAAATTCCTATGTGACAATCCTAACCCCCTAATCTCTGAACGTGACCTTATTTGAAAATAGGGTCATTAGGGATGTCATTAGTTAAGGTGAGGTCACATTGGAGTACAGCGGGTCCCTGCTCCAACATGGTTGTTATAAACCAGGGCACAAGGACACCGACACTTGCGGACATGGCCCGTGAACACGAGGTGAGACCGGGTGGGGTCTCTGCAACCACAGAGGGAGGGAGCACCAGAGATCCAGCGACCCACCAGAAACCAGGCCAGAGTCTCCCTCAGGGTCCTTGGAAGGAACCAGTCCTGATCTTGATCTCAGACTTCTGGCTTCTGTAAGAAGTTTCAGCCAGTTGGTTTGTCCTTGGTGAGAACCGCCCAGAAGGCACAGGACTTTCTCTACATGTTGGAGGATGAGCAGGTGGCAGAGGGCAGGAACAGAATGTGCAAAGGCCCAGAGGCAGGGCTGTGGGTGAGGTCCTTGAGGAAACCTCAGTAGAGCTGGGTTTGGCAGCATTGGAGGGGCCAGAGAGTCACCCTGGGACCAGGGAGAAGTCGGTCATGCCACGGTTTGGGTCTTTGTTCTGAGGACACTGGCTCTATTTATGAGGCACTCACACTTCTCGATGCCCTGTGCTAATTGCTATTCCAATACTTGCTCCTTAGGTCTGATGCCAGAGATGGGAACTTCTTTTTTTTTTTTAATTTTTTAATATTTATTTTTAGTTTTCGGCACACACAACATCTTTGTTTGTATGCGGTGCTGAGGATCGAACCCAGGCCGCACACATGCCAGGTGAGCGCGCTACTGTTTGAGCCACATCCCCAGCAGAGATGGGAACTTCCTTTTTTTTTTTTTTTTTAGAGAGAATGAGAGAGGAGAGAGAGAGAGAGAGAGAGAGAAAGAATTTTTAATATTTATTTTTTAGTTCTCGGTGGACACAACATCTTTGTTGGTATGTGGTGCTAAGGATCGAACCCGGGCCGCACGCATGCCATGTGAGCGCGCTACTGCTTGAGCCACATCCCCAGCCCAAGAGATGGGAACTTCTGACCCAGTGAGCACCGCGATGAAATTGGGCCAGAGAGCAGGAGCACACAGGTAAAGCTTTCATTGGGTGGCTTAGCCTCAAGGAGAGGGGACACAGCACTGATAGAATTAGGCTAGGTCCCCAAACAAAGCAAGAAGCTATTTTTACTTATGTGTAAGGTTATAAGAGGTGGGTTAGGGATTGGGATGTTTTTTGTTTTGGAAATCAAACCCAGGGCCACTTAATCACTGAGCCACATCCCCAGCCATTTAAAAACATTTTTTACTTAGAGACAGGGTCTCTCTAAGTTGCTGAGTCTCCCTTTAAACTCTCGATCCTCCCACCTTGGCCGTCCGAGATGCTGGGATTACAGGCCACGGTGCCCAGTGTGTTTAGAAATTTTAATGGAGTTTAGATCTTTAAAAAAAAAAAAAAGATTTTTTTTTTCCCCTGCGTGAGCACTTTGAGAGATGGTCAGTGTCAGTTTAGAGCCAAACTTTACATCTGTCCTGTTGATGCTGTATCTCTTTTAATCGTGTTTGCCTGCAATAAGGTCACTGCAGCTGTTAAGAGAATACATGGGTATGGCTTTGCACACCTGTAATCTCAGCGACTGGGGAGGTCTGAGGCTGGAGGATCACAAGTTCAAGGCCAGCCTGGTAACTTAGCCAGACCCTGTCTCAAAATAAAAAGGGCTGAGGAAGTAGCTCAGGGGTAGGGGGTTGGGTTTGTCTTGAGTCCTTTGCCCTGATCCCCCAACAATTTCCTTCTCTTATCTAGTTTATCTTTGAAAATGTTAAGGCAAAGATATCTTGGCTAAAGAGGCATCTGGTTTGGTTTGGCTGGGTTTTGTACAGGGGTGTGTGTGTGTGTTTGAATCAGGGGCCTGTGCCTGCCACTTGCTAGGCAAGTGCTCTACCACTGAGCCACATCCTCCACTCCTTTTATTTTTTAGTACCCATGGGGGCGGCTCAACTATCGAGCCACACCCTCAGCCTTTTTTCTCTTAGAGACAGGGTCTCCTGAGTTGCTAACTGCCTAGCTAAGTTGCTGAGGTGGGCTTTGAACTCCTGCCTAGGCCTCCCAAGTCACTGGGATTACGGGCGTGCGCCACCACGCCTGGCTTTATGCTTACTTTAGAGACAGGGACTCCTTAAGTTGCTGAGGCTGCCTTGGAACTTGGGTTCCTCATCCTCAGCCTCTGGAGCCGGTGATTACAGGCGTGCGTGCGCCACCATACCTGGCTTTTTTTCTTTTCTTTTGAGTGCCTGTGGAGGTACCTGTCTCAAATCCTTCCAAAATAACACAGCCAGCGAGGAAGATGGAGGGGGACGTGAACTTTGCCAGGAGAGGTCAAGCGAGGACCCCGGAGGTAGAAGGTGAAGCTGGTACCTCCTCATCCACGTGTAGTCGGGAGCCAGAGCAGCAGGGGGCACCCAGCGAGGCGGTGAAACGAGAGACCATCGCCCGCAGGCGATCACGCCCACCTCGCAGAGTGGGGCACCGAGGCTTAGAGAGAGGAAAGGGTCTTAAGCCCTCAACTCTGCAGCCTGCTTCCATGACCTTCCGTGGATCCCTTCGCGGGGAGCCGGGATGAAGGCGCAGAGTGGAGGGCTACATGGTTATGAGGCGCCTCAGGGCCGGCGGCTGGGTTTGGAACGCTCGCCGGACCCCGCAGCCTCCCCTTCGACGTCCCACTGCCTACCCCAACCTTTCGGGGCTCCGTTGCCTCTTGGGGTAGGAGAGGTCCCAACCCCTCCCCGCGCTTCGGCTCCTCCGCCCTCTTCCAGCCGCGCGGTAGCGTGACAACGACGCAGCCAATTCCCTGCCACCGCCCCGCTGGGCTGTACCGTGCTGGCTGGAGTGGCGGGGGGAGGAAGGGAATGCGTGCAGGGCTTGTCCCAGGCACTCCCTCCATCCAGACACCGACTAGCCCGACAAGGGGACAGTAAGGAGGCTGCCCCGGGGGTGTCGGGTCGCGGGCCGCGGGGCTCTGTGGCCGCTTCGGCGCCGCGGTGTCCCTCGCATCCCCCCGCTCTCTGCATTGGTTCGCGCCGCGGAGCTCGAAGAACCAGCCGTGTGCGCGGTGCCCGAGACACAGCGGTAGCGAGTCCGCGGAGCTCGGTCAGGTCGGAAGGTCCGCTGTGCGGCGGCTGCTGCGTGGCGATCATGGCTCTCAAAGTCCGAGTCATTTACTGGTAAGCGCGGAGGCCAGGGGCCTCTCCCTACGGCGATTTCCGTGCGCTCGGAGCGGGGATGAGGCGTCGGGGGCTGGATCCCAGGCCCCGGGAGGAGAAAAGCGGCTGGGTGGGGCCAGGAGGGGTGAGGGCCGCGGGGAGTTGAACCCCTGTTTGGGACGGGCGGGACGTCTCGGGTTGTGAAGGGTCCAGCGGAGACATGTGTGTGGCCGCCGCAGACGCCAAGGGGCTTGGCCGCGGGTCGGGTGGATCTGTGCACTCCTGGGACTGACCCCTCCGCTATGCTCCGATTCCCCGCCCGCGAACAGCCCCTGGGTCAGGACGGCCTCCTGCACCTTCCTGGGTTTAGATAAAGACGCAAATGACAACCTTCGCGCCGGTGCCCGTGGGTGCCCGTGCTGCCAACCCCTCTTCTCGGGCCACAGTTCCCCTTTCGGTAATGCGAAGAGGGCGAACGTAGTAGCTCCTGCCCAGGGAGCGCTGCACACCAGCCCCGACTGCCTTTGAACCTATTTCCTCCGCTCAGAGGATCTGCCCTGGCACCTCATTCTATGCTAGCATGCAGTAGGTGCTTAATAAATACCGGCTCAATGAATCTACTGCCCCCTGAACCTTTTGAGGGAGGGGAATTCTAGCTTCATTTTACGGGGCAGGGAGAGGGGAATGCAGTAGGTCGTGGTCCTGGCTCAGACCCGGGGGCCACTCCAACCTGGGTGGCTGACCTAATTATCTGGACTCGCACCCAGGATCCAGTGGGTCTCCGTTTTGGGAATGCCATGGCCTGTTAGAAGCACAGCTCGCTTGACATTTTGAGTTCCCAGGAGGCCTGTGCACCAGATTCCAGCCGGAAATGGCATCCTGGGTGTTGGAAGGTGTTCAGGTTCCAGGAGCGACAGGGCTTCCTTCAGTGCTCTGGGCCTGGGCCCCAGCCGAGGTTGCATGTTGTTTATGCAGCTCTTGTTCTAACCCAGAGCCCTCCGTTTTCTTCCCTGTTGCCTTCCCTGCCTCATGTGGCCACATAACTGTGATCTGGTCACCCCGTCTGCGGCCTCCCTCTCCTCCTTTGCCTGGCTTGGCTCTTTTTCTCTGCTGTTTCCTATTACACTCTGGTGTCCGTGTGTCTTTCTTCCCTTCTCTGTCTCTTCTGCTTGGTCATTTCTGCCCGTCTTATTCTCTTCTCTTCCTGGTCCCCTCTGTCCTGCCATTACTGCCTGCTTTCCCTGTGTCCCCACCTGTCTGCCTGTCCTGGAACTCCTCACTTGGACTCCACCTACCAGTGGCGCTTGAGGCTACAAGCCTAAGGTAAGCCGGGGGCCCTCAGGAAGCACCCTGAGTCGGGGGAGTGCATCTGGGGGGCTGGCTGGGCACTGCTCTGATCTCCTCCCCCTTTCCAGTATCTCCAGCTCAAGAAGAAGCTAGAAGATGAGTTCCCCGGATGCCTGGACATTGTGAGTCTCGGGGATGTGGACGTGGAGGGCCCCTTGTCTGTCTGAGGGTCTGGTGCTGGGGGAGGTGGCTTAGCCCCACAGCCTTCACCCTCCCCCCTCACTTCCTGGGAAGGGGAAGCGTTTCCAAGAGGGCATCCCAGCGCCAATCTGTCCTCCCTGCTTAGTGCGGCGAGGGGACTCCCCAGGTCACCGGGTTCTTTGAAGTGATGGTAGCCGGGAAGCTGGTTCACTCCAAGAAGGTATATCTCTGTGCATGTCTTGTTTGGGGGTCAAGTAGGGCTGGGGCGGAGGCTGGTGTGTGGGTCCCAGCTCGACCCTTTCTCTCTTTCCCCTCCCCAGAGAGGTGATGGCTATGTGGACACGGAGAGCAAGTTTCTGAAGCTGGTGGCTGCCATCAAAGCCGCCTTGGCTCAGGGCTAGAGTGCCCTGAAGGCAGAGGTGAGGGGCCCAGGCGGGCGCTGACCTGGGACCAGTCTGCGAGATGGGGCATCCAGGTGTCCCCGGGGCAGGAGGAGTGGAAACAAGGTCTGGGTGGTGCAGGATGACTCCTGAGCTGGCAGTCGGCTGAGGGCTGCCCTCAGCAGCTCTCCTGGCTTTGGAATAGAAAGTACTAAAGAGACACTCTGGATTTTGTCCCTTTGCCAGGAAACAGTGACTATCTGTGACTGTCAGCCCAGGTTACAGGCACATTTGGAAACACAGCTCCTGTGCTCAGTATTTTCAACCTGATCACCAGTTATCAGACCCTGAACCTGAGACTTTTCCAGAGTGGGCCTACGAACACTTTAAGAAACTAACTGACAAAGAATGTTCTGGAAACTGACACTAACTCTAGAAGTGATCACCTGCCCCAGAAGGGACTCCCTTCTCCCCCAGAGCAATGTAGAATCAAATCCAGAACCAGCTGTCAGCATATCCTGAACCCAGGCACCCCTTCCCACAGCTGCAAAGAACTGTGCAGACCAGTTCCCAAACTGGAGGACTGATAACTAGTTCCCTATGTCCTCTGAGCCAGGTAGTTCCTTCCAGCCCAGCCCCTTCTAGAACACATAGCCCTTTCCATAACCCTCTGGAACATGGACTGCTTTCCAGAGCCCTCTTGAGTTTGGTTTCAGTTTCCTCAAGTACATTCCAGATGAGCTGCAAACCCCTTCTCATCCAGGACTGGGCACCATTCACCAGTGCAGACCAGGGCTAAGTTCTGGTTTTGGGGACAGCCCTTCCCCGACCCACCTATACTAGAGACTGAGCCTAGGGCTGCTCTACCACTGAGCTTCAGCCTCAGCCTTTGATTTCAAGACAGGGTCTGGCCAAGTTGCCAAGCCTGGCCTTGAACCTGCGATCCTCCCCCCAAGTCACAGGGATTGCGGGTGTGCACCACCTTCCTGCTCCAGAGCAGTGAGGCCACTCTGAATTTGGACCTGCAGATCTAAAGTAGTGACTACAGAAGGACAGTGGCATCCTGCCTCCTGTGTGGGTCTGACATGAAGCACCCCCACCCCCACATTGGAAATGAATTTCTTGGTTCCACAGTGGCTGAGGGACGGTGGGTGGTGCCATGCAGCGGGATTTGACGGGAACTCTGTGGAGTGCTCAGCTCTGACTAAACCCGCCTCCAGTCAGCACTGGCAGAGGCTCCCTTGGATTCCAGGGGGTGAGTCAACAGATGACTCATCTCCCATAAAGGAAAGTGGGTTTGCCTAAGGAAGAAAGGGGGGGAGGCAAGTCTGTGAAGAGGGACTGTTTTTTTTGTTTGTTTGTTTGTTTTGGTGCTTGGGGGTGGAACCCAGGGCCTGCCACCTGCTGAGCACATGCCCTGCCCCAGGGCCACCGCCTGCCCCTGTTTGGCAGTGCTGTGGCTCTAGTTTTCAGGACCCTTGGAAGGATTCAGAAGAACTCCAGCAGCTGTTCTGCATGGTTCCAGGTTACCTAGGGAGGGGCAGAGGGCAGGGGTC